GTACTTACCTGAAAATGGTAAAATGATTATGCTGACATTCAAATCAACACCAAAACTTGTTCATGAGAAATGGTAAAATATTTCAACAATTAAGAAATTATTCAATGAGTAATCAGTATAGCTTAAAGAAAATACAATGATGGAAAATATGTGATATTCAAAACAACAAATAAAGAAAGACAACAAATTTGCAACTATGTTACAAGTTTGCAGCTTATAAATCCTGTTCTTATTAGGAGTTATAAGAGTCTTGTTCTTATAACTATCAGTATCAGCTGTTCATGATTCTAATCAGCAGCATTCCTCAAATTTTGCAACTTATAACTCACACAGAGAATTCAAAATTCAAATGCACAACTATTCTACCTGTATCAACATATATAACATTATAATTCACAAGTCACAAGTTATATCTGAAACATAATGTCGAAAGTGAATCACACAAATTATTAGCAAAGCCCACAAAGCACCTCTGCGAGAGCATAAAAGAAATTCAGTTTCTATAACAGGGCTAAGGGCAATTAAATTTACAGTTTATATAACAAAACCATGTCATGGTCAAGCCAACATCATTTAATATACATACACAGGATGCACACTAAAATTGTCTGCAACTAATATATATTTCTATACCCTTGTCTAACACAACAGGGCTAAGGGAAATAATAACAGTAAGGGAGAATAGTTCTCAATAAACTAGCCTAACTACATAATACAAAATACCAAGAACTACCAATTCACACAATACTAATCGCAACAATCCACTGAAGGCAGCAGCACAACATATTCATGAAGAAACAATACAAACCAAATACCAGATAAAATGTAGACCAACTAATAAAGCAAATAGCAGAAAAAGTATTAGGAGTTGCACAAGTTTTTATTGCTGGATTTAAGCATACGTGATTAGTCATTTGTTACTCGTGTACATCTTTGGATTTAAACATCATAACTGGACAACTACAAATTGTGTAGTGAGACAACACAGTACAATTTCACATTCCCAATTTGGCAAAACCTGACTGAAATCAAACTGAAACAAACAATTGTTCGTAGAGCAAATAATTTTCCATTTGACGGAAAAAGGCAAAAGTCGATAATGAGAAGAATAACAAATTACATAGTACCTGGAAAATGAATGACGGAACGGTATAAGTGAAGTCCCTCTATCCCGGATATACGTCGGCGACGGTGGAAGGTAAGAAAGCGTGGCTTCTCAATTTGTCTTGGACTGAGTACAATTTCAATACCCCAATTTGTCAGAAAAATCACGAAATCAAACTCAAACAAAAAAATGTGCGTAGAACAAAGAAAAACCCTAATACCTAGTTCTGGAAACACAATTGACGGAAAAACTATTACCCCTCAGTTTACGACCGCCGGGAGCCCCTCTACCTTGTCGACGGTTCTATTCATTAAATCGCGGCTTCTCGTCGGGAGCAATGATGCCGAAAATCATCGTCGCGATGCCCTTTTCACGAATTAGGGTCGACAAGTTCGAAAATGAGTGCACTGTTTGGGGGAGGTGGCTGAAATCGAGTGTTATGTACATGAGGGTGTTTTGGTCTTTTCACCGGTGTATCATGTTGCTAAATCCTTCGAAGTAAATATGGGATTCATTTATGCGAATCCCAAACATGAAAAGTAAACAAGGGACTTGTGCTGACGTGTAAAGTTGGACTGGATTATTTAGCCTATCCCTATCCCCCAAAGTAAACGACCCCTTAGAGTATAGTATTTAGTTAGGGGGCAATTGTTTATCGTTTGTACAGTAAAAAAACCAACCAAAACTCAAATATATTTAAATTTTAATTTAACCCACTATATCTTGTATTATCAATATAATTAAATAATATCAACCAATCATTCTTACACATCACATCAACTTTAATTCACTATTCATCAACTCACATAATTTTTAATAACTGTTGGGAATGTGATTACTCTGTTAATCACATTCATTATCTTTTCTATTTTCTGCTATTTCTTATTCTATTTTGCTGTACCAAGTGTCACATTTTCCAAGAGCACGTTTCTTTTAGTTTTCTGTTATTTTACTCTCGAACGGTGTTGTTTTATCTTGTGCATGTGTATGACGTGATTAGTCCGTACGTACACTGCATATAAAATAGGGTATGCACATTTGTACTGTGATTTTTACCTCTGATTAATGAAAATGAGGTTTATCCTCCCAAATATGAGCGACTAGATTTCTACATGGTATCAGAAGAAATTCCCTGTGATTCCTGAGTGTTTTTCTTCGATCTAATTGATTTTCCTACTGATTGATAGCTCGTTTCAACTGATCTCTGACAATGGTGCAGCATCGCAATCCATGGCCGCTGCTCGCGACAACTGCTACGGATACCTCGAGAAATTGCGATCCAGATCCGCTTCTCCTACACGGTTCCGATCACCCTGGTATGCTGTTAGTTTCATATCCGCTCACCGGAGGTAACTTTCTCTCATGGAAACGCTCTATGATTATCGCCTTTGGGTGCGAAAACCAAATTAGGTTTTATCAATGGAGAAATGTGTAAACCAGATGAAAATGATGGTTCCTATGCTGTTTGGCGTAAGGTTGATTGGATGGTTCTGTCCTGGATATTAAATTCACTTTCTAAAGATATTGCGGAATCCTTCATTTATGCTGATTGTTCTAAGGATCTATGGGATGATATTTGTCAACGATTTGGTGAAATTAACGGTCCAATGAAATACAAGTTGCAGAGAGAGATATCTGCTCTTACTCAGGGAAATAGCTCTATCATGGAGTACTTTAATAAATTGAAAAAGTTATGGGATGAATACTCATGTGTGGTGCCTTTCCAGAGCTGTGATTGTGATAAAGGGAGAATTGTTGCTCAAAATGACGCTGAAAGCAGGTTGATCCAATTTTTGATGGGTTTGAATGACAGCTATGATCATTTGAAAAATCAGATTATGTTGCAGGATCCTCTACCCACTGTGAATAAAGCCTATTCTATGTTATTGACTGCTAAAAGACAGAGGTCTGTGCATAATGTGTTTGGGGACAGGTTGGATAATGTTGTTATGATGGCCCATGGTGCTAATGCAGGCCGAGGTTCTGGTGGTAGAGGAGGCTTTACTAGCAGAGGTTCACACTCACAATGGTCCAGTGGCAAAGGTAGAGGGGGTCCTCGACTTAGCAAGGAAGAGAAGGCAAAGCTCCTTTGTGACAAATGTGGTATGCGAGGTCACACTGTTATGAGTTGCTTTAAGATACATGGTGTGCCTGAGTGGTATAAAACTTTCAAGCAACAGCAAGGTAAGGGTTATGCCAATGTTTCTGAAGTACAGGGTGGCTCAGATGTGCACAGTCAAAGGTCCATGAGCAGTGATGATTCAAAATTAGGTGATCTCTCAGCTGTTATTCAACAGCTCAATGAGTCAACTCAATACATCAAAGGCAAGGAGACAGCTGATGGGAGTTTGAACTATGCTCAGTTTGTTAGTTTCAAGGGTGCAGATGAAGGTGATGACATGCATTATGCCCTGACAACTGCTGGTGAAGCTGGTGTTTGTGAATGGATTGTTGATACCGGTGCCAGCCGACATATTTGCAACAATGATGCCCTAATGAGGAATCTGGAGAAGCTTCCTACACCTGTTTCTATATGCTTACCTGATGGTTCCCTAAAATCTGTCTACAACAAAGGCATGGTGGTCATAAATGATGATATCAAGTTGGAAAATGTCTTATATATGCCTGAGTTTAAATACAATTTACTCTCAGTTACTCAGCTGTGTATGAAAAGGGGATTGAGATGTTTCTTCACTGACTCACATTGTTACTTGGAGGACAAAGAGAATAATAGAACCATTGAATTTGGGAGGTTAAGTGGTAATCTTTATGTCTTGAGAAATAACCTTGCTGGTTTTGGTTCTGCCAACCTAGCTACCTGCAATTTGACATTTGAAGACTGGCACAGAAAACTAGGCCATGCTTCTTATTCTACTTTGAAACATATGGACTTCCTACAAAAGGACTGCACCAAGAAGAATTAGGGCTTACTCCATGCATGTGATGCCTATTTAAGGGCTAAGCAACATAGACATCCTTTCTATGCTAGTGGTCCTCAAACTGGGGCAATCTTTGAGTTGGTTCACATGGACATTTGGGGTCCTTGTAAGGAGGATTGTTTGACCAATACTCATTTCTTCTTAACACTGGTTGATGATTTTAGCAAGGGCACATGGGTCTATCTTATGGCTCACAAATCACAGGTTGGTAAGTTGATTCAGTCCTTTATTTCTATGGTTGAGAAGCAGTTTGATTGTCCAGTTAGAAGACGGAGGCCAGACAATGGCAAGGAATTTCTAGAAAAAGAGTTGTAAACCTTTATTAGTGCCAAAGGTATTGTTCATGAGACGTCATCTGTCTACACACCTCAGCAAAATGGGACTGTAGAAAGGAAGCATAGACATTTGCTAGAGGTTGCCAGAAGTCTTTTGTTTCAATCCAGCATGCATTTAAGTTTTTGGTCACTTGCCATTCTAGCTGCTGCCTATGTGATCAGCAGGACTCCAAGCTCTTTACTCAACTGGGCATCACCCTTTGAAAGGTTGTACAACAAGAAACCAGACTATACAAGGCTTAAAATCTTTGGTTGTCTAGCCTATGCAGCTGATACAAGGCCAACCAAGTCTAAACTTGATCCTAGGGGAATTAAATTTGTATTTGTTGGTTATGAGATTGGCACCAAAGGCTACAAGCTTTATGACCTCCAGGAGCAGAAGGTTTTCACATCTAGAGATGTGCTCTTCTTTGAAACCGATTTCCCCATTCACAGACAAGTCTTAGCACCTCTTGATAAGAACACTCTACCTATTGTTGTTCCAGAAGAGCTTCATGATCATGATCAGACCATTTCCTCACTTCCTACTGATATCATCACACCTCCAGTGGTTACTAGTTCACCTGATGTAAGGAAAAGTCTAAGGGCCAGAAAACCTCCTAGATGACAACAAGACTATATTTGCACTCCTGGAGGACAGAATTCTGCACTTATGGGCACTGCTTTTGATGTTTTCAAGGGGAATGATTCCTTGATTAAGGAACCTACTCACTACCATGAAGCTAGTCAAATTCCAGCTTGGGTGCAAGCCATGAACAGTGAGCTTGATGCATTGAAAACCAACAACACATGGACAGTTACCACTTTACCTAGAGGGAAAAAGGCTATTGGGTCCAAATGGGTTTACAAAGTAAAAAGGAAAGCTGATGGTAGGGTGGATAGATATAAGGCTCGGTTAGTAGCCAAGGGCTACAATCAAGTTGAAGGTCTAGACTACTTTGATGTCTTCTCACCTGTGGCCAAGTTAGTCACTATGAGGCTCTTTGTTGCTGTTGGGATTATGCATGGTTGGTGTCTTCATCAATTGGACAATAATAATGCATTCTTGCACGGTTTTTTATCTGAGGAGGTGTATATGAAGCCACCAACTATGAGAATAGCATTTGAGTCACGCTATGAGTCACGCTAGGTTGCTGCCAGAAGTGGTTCCTTATGGCCTTGTACTTTTGAGTCGACAATCCGAACAAAGGTTGTTTAAGAAGCTCGTCAAACCAAAGCAAAATTTGCGTAACTTTAGACGATTGGGGTAAAGTCCTTACCAAAAAGAGCGCGATATATGCAGTTATTTTCCATGTACTCGTAGATTAACAACAACCGGTTCCCTTCAACACAACATCCATAAAGCTTTACTAAATTCGGGTGTTGCAGTGCGGATACCATTCCTATTTCGTTGACAAATTTTTGTGTCCTGTTTTGACTTTGAAGAAAGTTGCTTCACCACTATTATGGTCCCGTCAAGTAACAGACCCTATAATGACACACACAAGTATATTTTCAGTACCACTACATAATAATGCAAGAATGTAACGAGTGTGGAATTTCATCATAATCTAAGAAAACAAAAAAAGGGATTATGAATCTCACAAGTGAAATTCAAAAGACGGCAGTACCTTGTACACCGAACCGAAACCACCCTCAACAATCTTGTTTGCAGGATCGAAGTTCTTAGTGGCAACCTTTTTTTTTTATCGTTAAATAAATTTGTATTGATCAAAATTGAAAGTCATACAACCGAGTCGGCTTTCAAAAGCGTAGTGGGTAACCACAAGTCGGTTCCTCACTCGCAAGAACAAAAATAACGAGGACAATATTCTCCTCCAACCAAGATTTTCCAAGTGCTCAAGCACTTGGCATCAACATCCTAAAAAATTATCAAAATTTTATACTTCAACGCCTAGGCTTCTTCTCTCAAATTCGGCGAGAACACTCAGAAAAAGAGCAAATATAGATCGGTAGACGTGCGTCTTTACCTTTCTAATCACAAGACTTGGAGGTTGGGTTTCGCCCTCAAAAATCAATCGGTTTCGCGCATTCCAAATGAAGTAGACGGTGGCCGCAAGCGCCGCTTTCTTCAATTTGGC